TTGAGTGCACGTTAAAGAACCCCAGGTGGTCTAAATTTCCGGAGCCCTCCACTACGGCGTCTCTCATAATCATATAGTGGTTTTGGGACGTTAAACCCCACATATCACATATCAAACCGGTTATTCCGTGTCCAACTGGGCAGCGTTCTTTCCCAAACATCTGTCTAAGAAACAGGCAAGCCGCAAGGTGGTGTACTTAGCTGCACACTTTTTCTCATCAAAATGAATATTTGGCGCATGTCCGTCCCTCGCAACATGTTTTATTGTACATATGCCGATGACGTCCAGCTTGGCTTTAGATCTGGCAATCTGGCCATGTGTGAGCGCCAAGTTCAGCATGGTTTGAACACAGCCTCCAATTCGGCTGAAGAAAACGGGTTCCGACTGAATGCACAGAAAAGTACGTGTGCCTTGTTCTCCAGGAAAAGAGGCAGTCATGTCGAACCCGATATTTAACTGCATGGTCAAAGTCTTTCCGTTAATACCGAACACAAATTTTTAGGCTTAATCTTGGACACCAAGCTAACCTTCATGCTACACATCAGATATCTAAAAAACAAGTGCATAAAAGCTATGAACGTTTTGAAAGTGTTGTCTCGCACTACGTAGGGAGCGACAAGAAGTGTTTAATGAATTTGTATAAAAGCCTCATTTATACCCGTCTAGACTATAGGGCAATAGCATATCAATCTGCCACACCTCGTGCCCTTAAAATGCTTGACCCTAATCATCATCTAGGCATCCATCACTCCACGGGGGCTTTTCGCACTAGTCCTGTGGAAATCCTGTACGTGGAATCAAACGAATGGTCGCTCCACCTACAGAGATGTTACATGTCTTTTAAATATTATCTTAATGTATATCTAGACAAGGATCACCCATAACATTCCACAATTAATGACATGTCAAGCCTTGCTGTGTTTAAGAAACGGCTTTTCTATGAGACAGCCCTACCCACTTCGTGTGAGGGGCCTAGCGAAGAAAACCGGTATGCAACTTGAACACCGTTTGATGGCTCCCACAGTATACCTGCCACCGTAGAAATGGCAGGCAATAGATTGTGACGTGTCTTTCTTGGGGGTTAGAAAGCATGCACCAATTGCACATATCAAGACATACTTCCTAGAACTACAGTATAAATACACATGTCCTGAGTTCTTCACGGATGCTTCAAAGTCCGACACTTCTGTCACGTACGCAGCTGTCGGGCCATCCTTTTCGGAAGCCGGCGTTCTGCACTCTGATTCTAGCATTTTCACCGGTGGAGCCTATGCGATACTCGCGGCTGTAAAACACATTAAAAAAATAAAACAACAGGAGGCAATAATATATACAGATTCCCCCAGCGTATTAAAAGCTCTGAAAACTCTTAAAAAGCACCAGAACCCTGTCCTTGTCTCGCTTTATTCGCTCTTACGCACACTCTACTCATCTAAGCAGCATGTTGTAGTCTGCTGGGTGCCAGGACACCGCAAAACACAAGGCAATGTTACGGCGGACCAGCTAGCTAGATCCGCTAACAAAACCGCTTCCAATATATCGATACCAGTATCTGCACTCGACTTGAAAGCTTCTATAAAACGAAGACTCAGGGGCTACTAGCAGAGCACAAGGGACACACACGCAGGTTATAAATTGCGAGTCATCAAGCCGCAACTGGTCGTCAGCATTAAAATCACGCCTCACAGAAGTAATCCTTACAAGGTTAGAAACAGGACATACACACACAACACATTCATTTCTTTTATCTGGGGTCGATCCACGTTTGTGTGATAGATGTGGAGAAGCACTCACCGTACTTCACATTCTCATCTAGTGTAAAGAGTTAGACACGCTGAGAAGAGAACACTTTCAGTTACCCTACTGACAACAGATACCACTCCATCCTGCAATTTTCGTCGGTAGGTAACAACTTTTTACTCAAAAATCATTGTTAACTTTTTAAAAGAAATTCATACTTTGCATATCATATGCCCGAGCATTCTGTAGCACGACCTCTCCAGAGAGGTCTCCGCTGTGCTGGCTACACAACAAAGCACTTGCCTCACGGCTCTTGGACGCAAGAATTTGAACGAGTACGTGAGGCAGCTGTGCTAATGCCATATATGACCACCATCGTTTCTTTATTATCACAACTTTTGTCATCTATTAACACCGCACACTGTTCACGGCATGATCAAGATTTTATTTCTTAAATGTTTTTACCCGCCTTAGCGCGAGACATTTTATGGCCTTTAGACAGCTTTTTATCACAATCATTGTCCATATCACAAGTAAGATGAACTGGCACTCTTTGACTATGAAATGGCCCTTGCGCCACAAAATACCCAAACATCATCATCATGAGGCTTTCACATTTCACTCTCATGTTTGAAGGCAAGCTAACAGATATTTTTTTAGCATTCCGAAATCGTCTTGTAATGAAACAAGTGTGATCAGCATAACAGATTTACTGTTGGTGTGTGCAGCTTTTACAGCCTCAGAATTATCTCGAGCCCTAGTTGCGTTCCGTACATCAGTACCACCGCAGTTCAAACTCCTAAAATTAGTGTAGGACCCAAGTCACTGCGGGTTAAAATTGATTGAGCTTGCACATTTTTTAGCACAATCATCACTTGATAGATCATTATTTTTAGTATTTCCAGAGTTGAAATTCTTAGCAAGTGTTCGAAATAGAAAATTTGCTTTACTTTCCGTGATTTTGCAAAATATCACGAAGGAATACATTATCAGCGCCGGAAACTTCTATTGAAACCTCAGCGGAGTCAGTTGAAAAAATTGAAGTTATTATTTTAGGATTCCGCGCCTTCTCCCTTCAAATAATTTCTTTTTACACAGAGCTGCTCTGACGGTATCGCCCTCTGTTCATTCTGCGAACGGTCGGAGGAAGCTATTGAAGATTACCTTGTACCATGTCGTCACTCTGCAGTATTTAGAAAAAGAATACCAGCTATGTCGATGGCGAAGCTAAGTTTAAGTTTAACCACAGAAACTTTTCTAAATTTCGGTGCCTCTGTTTTGAGGCGTTCCCATAGAAAGTAGTTCGTGCGTTGTGTGATTTGATTTAAGCCACAAAATGTTGTTCATCATGATGCCCTCTTTCACAAATGCTTAAAAATGAGTTGCAAATTATTTTAAAATGCGAATAAGTAAGAGTCATACATCCAAAATAATAAAGTTTGATCTACTCCGATTTATGCTCGGCTCCAAATATCAGAATAATACAATTATATTATTCATTATTTTTGTTTTTTTTTGTTTCTCACAGTTTGAGTGTTTATTGTTGTATTGTCTTTTTTCTTGCCATATTTTGGGGGGGTAGGGAGTGGCACTAGTGCAGTAACCGTCCATCGGATACTATACGTTTTTTTTTTGGTCAATGACCCAGAGTGGGTATATGTCATGGTTCACAGGCTGCAAAGAAACAGCTGCTGGAGTACTACAGCAAAATACTTATTATTGATGGCGTAGTGAGTACTCACCTACCGGCTGCATTTCCGATCGAGGCGGAAACGTTGTAGGCCCGTGTGCTTAGGTATGGGTGCACGTTAAAAAAACCCAGGTGATCGAAATTTTCGGTGCCCTCCACTACGGCATCTGTCATACTCATTTGGTGGATTTGGGACGTTAAACCTGACATATCAATCAATGAGTACTCACCTAGTGGGCTTGTAGCCTTTATCCAAAGAGTGTTGCCAAAATGTTCTGAAAGGCCGCATTTCCATCTTTCGCTGTGACTGATCTGCATGTTCCGCGTTGGCTTGTATTCTTTTTTCAGCTGAGCTGACATACCAATTCACGTGCTTTCAGTATACGCACCAAGTAAGCGACAAGATCAAGGTGCTTTTCTAAGCGATGACGTGCGGCATGCCAGCGCAATCGGTTACAAGATTCCCCAAATAGGTCTGAATCGGTTGTCAGCTTTTCCTTGCTAAACCGTTTTGCAGTTCAAAATGCATAGATAATCATAAAACCCTGATACCTGAAAATTTTTATTTTCATTATCCCAGCAATCGTTTAAAAAGATTTCTATGCGCCTTCCAGGGTGCCATACTGTGACATTTGATCTTGCATCAACGCATGGTTTCGACTTGAATCTAACGCAAAAGCCATCGCAGAGGCCGAGAAAAATCGTCCGAGCTACCATGTTCCAGCGTCTTGTTGGTGTCAGTAAATATGCACAGAGCTTTCTTTGACATGCAAAAAATCAATAGATATATGGACATCATCGTGTGATAGAGCCATTGTTGATGTAAAACTGGGTACGAGGAAGGCTAATTGAATGCAGTAATCAAGTGGTACAGTGCTGCAATGACCTGTGTCGCTCACAGCTAAAAATTGTATCTGTATGTTCGGAAATATGAGCCTTCGTTCGCGCAATAGTAATGCTTCTTTTGAACCCTACAAAAAGCACCACGCAAGTCAACATGTACCACATCGAAAATCTTTCGAAAATTATATCAAAGCTTACCTTCTATCCTGTCCTCAAGATTGATAAGTTCTGTATATAGCAGTCATATGTTTCTCTGGTTTCGTTATTTGTAGCGTTATGACTCTTTCTTTATTACTGTACAAGTATCTACTCCATTTACTCTGTACAAAAACAATGTTACGCATGCATTATTAGTTTGTTATATTGTATTTCTTTTTATATTGTATGCTCTGAATGGTGATTTAGAGTACTTGGGTCCCATCAGGCAGAGAACATCTGCCTTTTGCCCTTGTATCCGAGACATACATTTGTCTGAAATAAAGACAACAACAACAGCATTATAAAACTGTCACTTGCGCCCTTTACAATGTCAGAGTGTCTGTACTTGTGATGAAAAAGCAATACAAAAATTTCTAGCGTACTGAAATATATTTTTCAAATGTTTCTGCTTATTCGTTTGTACTCGTGCCTGCTGTGATCTTCTAGGTTTTCTACGGACTGCTTAGCACAGCGTGAATGAATAAACTGAATGCTTTGCAATATGCATAACAAACTCATTTTCGTACAGGAGGGGCACCACCAGCCAAGGTTTTTCTGCCTCCGGGATTACGGAGTACGTATCTAGCTTACATATTAGTGTTTTGAAGCCGCAGCTTATGCTGTGAATATTTCATTCGCAGAACAATCTGAGTAAGGTAAAATCAGTGAAACGCGCCAAATCTGCCATCTTTTCCTAAGATTTTTAACCTTTGTTATCCACGCAGTTCCATCAATATTATGCATGTTAAGTTCATATTATGGTCAAGTATCCTGAATATAGTCCTTCTGTACACAATGGTTCTAAATGCAAAAAAAAAACCAGAAACGTTAACTTCCCAAAGCATACCAAAGATATTCTCGCGAAAATTGCGCTTAGTGTTTATTCTGCTAATATCGTCGTGTGCATGAAAACTTTGTGCAACTCACGTGATGTGACAAGAAGAAATATGGATAAGCCGATGTTATTAACATGTGCAATACATACGCGTATCTATTTATTGCAGCGTTTAACAATGAACTTCTGCTTTAGTCACATTTCCTCTACAAGGTACATTGGGTTTTTTTTTGTTCAGTCTATACATTTGAACAAGCCCCTTCACAGTAGTTAAGGTGGCTTACCGTTAAGCTTATTTAGTAGCTGGCCATGTAGTCCGTGCTTTACATTTCAACAAGCACGCGAAGTAGTTATGGTTCTTTAAGACAGTCTACTCGGTTTTAGCAGGCTTTAATACTGTACTTAGCAGGACTACTCATAGCTAGATCTGCAGAAGGCGTTAAGCTTGTGTTCATTACAAACATTACATTCAGCTCAAGCTCATACGTTCAGTAACTGGTATCTTTTTTAATGGGTGAAATCTACATGTGGAGTATACATTGCAAAAGACAAGCTAAAAATGGCAACCTCATCATAACATACGCTATTTGCATACTTTAAATCTGCTTGCAAACTTCTAAACACAACTGTTGACATGAACGCAAGCGTGCTATATTTTTGTTCACAAATCTTTCCTCATCCTTTCATATACCGGTGGCTAATGTTCAACTTGATCGTCATTGCTATATAGTTTTTAAGCGCAAAACAGGGCCGCTGTGAAAAATATCTCGTTTACCTGAAGCCCCAGGAAGATATGAATTTTTGTATCACTGCACCATAATCTGTGATTCGAATTTCTCCTCTGCTTGAGTTAGAAAATATTAAAATTTACTCCAGTAGTTGAGTACAAGTCCTTGTGTTAATATACCGTAATTATATTGACATTGTTGTCTCTCTCAGCGTCCATCATTCTAGCCAAAGTGCCAGTCAGGATAGTTGGTAGATCTTCATCTCAATAAAAAAATGAAACACGTTAAAGTGAGGTACAAATGTAGAAAAAACGGAGTTAAAAGAAAACGATAGTACCTGATTTTAACAGAGCAAGGCGCGTTTGCTTAGCAAGCACAGGTTCTATTTGCTGTACTTTTATTCCTGCATTTGTATGTGAACCAATTTTTATGAAGACTACCATCATTTGTACGCAATCGACACATTATTTACCATTACTGCAGAGTCAACTATTGTCAATGTACCTGCATTTTAAAAAAGTCGTGATTACTGAAATAGATTAGGTAAGCAGCATGCTAGCAATAAAGACTAATACGTAAAAAACTGAACTATTGGTCAGCCGTCTAAGAATAACATAAAAAATTCGTGACATCAAGTGAGGCACCAGAATGTGCAAAGCACGACGTATATTTATCAGAAAAACTTACTGCAGAATTGAGCTACCAGAACAAAATATCTGCACAAATAGGAATAAGCTGTAGCGAATTCTGCGTCCAGTTTTGGATAATGAATGGTACTTTCCCATTATGTTTCAGGTAAACAAATATAATGGTCACCCTCATGTTATCGGTATTTAACAACGGCGCAGAAACCTGGGCGCTACGAATGTGCTTTAGCCCAAGAGTATCAGGGCTAAGCTGGCTATTTCATAATTCCACACTGCAACTGTTGAGAAGCACAGCTTGTGTTGTAGCCGGTAGTTTTGGTGTTTTTCAGGTTTCTGGTTAAGGCCGAGACAGCATACTGCCAATGTGTTTACACAAAAATCTCTGAATCTATTGCTTTCTGCACTTCTTTTTTTCAATTAGGGCCTGGATAGAAGTGCTGTCTACAACGCCTTGCTACTTCTGGAATGGACAACTTACTGGAATGGACAGTAAGTTGGACAGGTGCCGATTCAAAGGACCGAATAATTCAAAAATCTGCCGGACAGAACCCGTGCTGTTATTTCACAAGGAACCTTAGATGTACCACAATTGTGAACCAATACGAATTGCTCCAGTACACTCCTTGAAGCCTCACTAAGCGTTTGTGATGACGCTTTTCTTTAGCGGGGGCTGAACCTGGTTGAGTAGTGCACATATAGCTGTGATTGTGGTCCAACGAAATCAATAGCCCAGCCAAATATGTTGGTGAATGGGCTGGACAAGCAAAAAAATTGCTAAAAAGGCGAGGTGTTCCATACTTCCTACATTATTCGACACATGGAGCCTCCATACACGTCTGGGTACATGCACTGTGTGACGTTATTGCATCAGCACCTTGTAAAAACTGTGAGTCTGTTCCTCGTCATGAATGGCCAAATAAAATACTTAAAAATGAATTTGTGAGCTGTAAATGCTTTTCCGCAAGACATGCTGGACGTGCTGGACTTGCTGCCTAATAAAACAAATTGGCTGCTTAAGCTTACTCTTCCTGAAACAAGGGAGGCTGATATTAGATTTTTTTGAGCTGAGGAAAAATGGTTCATATAGGATTGATATGATGTTTTAAACGAAAAAGAGTTCAGCCCGTATCCTATAGTGGCCTGCCACATTCCAGGCGCGCATCTTTGATTGGCTGAGTCATTCCACACAGTGGTTTCCGTGCAGATGAAAGGCGCGCCTAGTTGTTCAATGATTGGCGCCCTGTCAAACTAAAAACACAGCAAAGTAATAAGACTAACTTCGTCATTCTATGAATAGCGCAGGGGCAGTTTCTACTCAACAATTTAACAGTTGAAAGAAATTAGTCTTATCTTCACTGCTTCAAAAGTCTAATCATACGCATCTGTGCCAAGCATTTACAACACTTGCTTTTTACCTAATGACTTGTATTGTTTAGTCTGCATCGTGAAGAATAATACAATGACTTTTATTCGTCAACAACTCAAACTGATCCCAACAGCAATGTCACCTGATTTCAGATTACGTATAAAAGGCTACAGTCGATGTAAAGTTTGAAATAAAAAAATAGGGGGCTTTTAATCTTCATTTTTAACAGTGAAAAGCGACCTTGATATAGCGTAATTTAAACCACTTAGTGCATACTTTTTATTGTGTGTTGTTCCTGGAGAAGTGAAAATTGCAGAATATAACAGTGTAAGTGATAAAGTTGAAAGCGGCTTGCGTCACTCAAGCTTTCGCATATGGCTGCATTATGTGTAATGGATAGCATGCTTCAAATCATGAACAATTATGCTTGTGAAATGTGAAAGTTACTACCCAACCACTACGTTGTCTTCAGTCCACACTACAGTAACGCGTGAGCCTTTGGTTATGGGTGGGCAGCTCTAAACCATGAAGTCAATATGTTACTGATATGTTCTGATGCTGGATGACAATGTTCACTTGTACCACTCAATATTACTGCGATAATTCGTACTGCATTGTGAAGTATGTGTATATAGGACGCGTGTGCTTATAACGCATGAACATTATTTTTACGGCATTTCTGGGGAGGGGCGCTTCAATTTCTTTAGGAACGAACATGTGACAGCAAGGTAGAGCACCAGATAGCCATACAGTAAGTCTGGGTTAAATCCTCTCTGAAACCCCATTTATTCATTAAATATTTCTTGCCTCTTTGTCAATTCTTTTGACAATGACAAGATAATTACATTTCAATCACAAGGAACGACGCCGATGCAGACCCCAACACCATAATTTCCGTGAAACAAGTTCGTAAGCGCTATAGCGTCGGAACTTAAATTTATGCTTCTTACGAAGCAGGTCGCTCAAGTTGTGCATTTTTTGCAGTGTCGCAAATACACCGTTACTAGGAACATGCATAAACTGAACTTCTAGACGTCCAAAATGCGGCGATCTGTCTCGCTTGTTTGACACAAAGATGTGTCTATGCACTAATGCATCCTGCCGTTCAGGCTCCCATCCACTCACTTGTATGGCTGTGTAATCTGCTATGAATAATTTTTAAAAAATAACTCAGCCTATGTGTATTATGCACTACCACGCATCTTTACGCTTTGAAGTAAAATGAAGAAAATGATGCCCCTGTGAAATTATACTCGTGCTCTAAAAAATGATAACTAATTTACCCACGGCATCGAATTCATTGTCTATTTAGGTTATTCGTAAAAACTAGCACTATAGTTTTGACCACGACTGAGTGCCCTTATGCATGTGCTTTTTGTGTGGTCGCATTGAATTTTATTCAGTGTTTTCTTGAATTTTCCCCTGCCCCACTCGATCACCATTAACATTAAAAACTGGATTAAAAATTGTGTTAAATTGCAACACTCTTGTAACAACGTTGCGATCACAGACCAGTTACTAGCTGAAAATTCCATTTTCGGTGAAAACTGCCACGTCAATATTCAGATGAGAAGTGACAAGAGAAAGTGGGGAGGTGGTAATGTCAGCCCTGAGTCCGCATAATACAACCGCGACTGTCGCAAGCGCCCGCTGGCTGCAGACTACTGAACCCTTGTATAGAGCAGTATTACATAAATGGTGAATGATATTAGAATAACATAAAAAAAAATAGCTTCCGGTAAGCTTTGCTAGTGCAATTGAATGGCGAGCTACGTCTCTGTGCTATAAAACTTTGACTAATGTTTAGGTGTCTTGATTAGGTGATTGAGGTACAAGCATAGGAAAAGGAACCAGGCCGAAACACCCTGAAAATAAGCATGTTAAGTGTTTTATGTTGATCATACAACATTATGTAAAAAGGTTGCCATAATTTTAAAATTCTACTGATAATCTGAATTAAAACGTAAAATACTGATCGAGGTTTCTTGCGAATAGATTCCAAACGAAATGGCAGCAGTGATAGGCTGCAGCTGGTTGTTTCTTCATTGTACAGCTGCTCCAGTTTTTAGCCTTCATTCGTCATCTTTAGCTATCAATAGAATATCTCATGGCTTCAGATAGAACATAGTAATAATACAGCAATGACTGTTGAATTCCAGTGACCCGTCAGCATATAATTATTACTCATACTGACACAGCTGCTAAATTAAAACGTTTACTCAATATGGAGGCCCATGCAGATGATTTGGCCAATTACGATAATGTGCAAAAATAGACACTTCCTGATATCTTCCCATTCTCGCATGTCGTCATCTTACGGCTTACTTTTACGTATATTGCCACTTCGTCTAGTCTTCACTGTTCCTAGAACGTCTACAAACGTCCGGGTACTTCGGTAGCTCTTCCATTCAGTGATTTACCAAGTGAGTCGCTTTTATTAACGAATAGAGTGCAAAACATCTGAGCTGGTCATTTTATCTGAAAGGCGTCTAAAATATATTACAAAAATGACAGCATATCCGCCTAGTGAAATAAAATGAGTACAGCAAAGTGCTGCAGGGTTTCATTGCTAATCCGTGAATCCTCCGCAAACATCGCCCACTAAATCATCAAAGACGTGACAAACGCTGTATATAAAGATACAGCAAATTTTATTACTCGTAAGTGGTAGCTATACGTCGCTTCTGTTTCCTCTTTATTATAGCAGCTTTATGATTGGTGACATGGTGGATCGGTGTTTGGCGTAGTGAGATGCTTGTAAGAACAAAGTAGTGGGCAGTTTGCAAATGTGTAACTGTAGGCGGTCTTGTACAAACAAGGGATGGACTTAGTGGAACAATCTATGGTTCTTTAACACCCGCCTAGATACAAGTACATCACCATCTTGCATTTCATATTGCCTACTTCTCAACAGTATTTGCTTTATTGTCCGTGAAGTGGTGGAGAGTGGTGGGGCATAGTGAAATGTTCGCAAGGAGAAAGTAGTGGGCGGCTGGCCTTGTTGGAACTTTAGGCGGTCACGTACAAATATACAAGGGATAGGCTGACCCATGCCTTTAGGAGCTTCGCCCCTAAAATAAGTGTATTCTTCACGGATTTGAATAGCGGGAGTATTCTTTATCTATCTATCTATCTATCTATCTATCTATCTATCTATCTATCTATCTATCTATCTATCTATCTATCTATCTATCTATCTATCTATCTATCTATCTATCTATCTATCTATCTGTCTATCTATCTGCAAGTACAATTGCCTGGCCATGTTATAACTTGAAAATCCTGCTGCGTGTGTCTTCGAGCCTTCTTCAGACACCTGATTCCCATAGACAATTACAACAAGCCGCAGTATGAGGGCATGCTCTTCTGGTGATTCAAGGGTTACGTGTATCCAGGGACAGGGAGAGCAGACGGGGAAGATGTAAATGTGGGGTTGTTAAAAAACTGACATAGATACCACTTGCTCGATGAGTGTAAATTAATGAAACTAGATTCAGAAAAAAAGATCGTCACAAAACTCTGCATGGCTGTGCCATATGCTACAAGAAAACCACATCACATCTGAGAACAACTTTGAAGAAAAATCCTGTGCATGTGCCTTGTCAGTGAAACATATCTTGAATGAATGAATGAATGAATAAAACATTTATTGCAGAAAATGTAAATCAAAATACTACTGGGCGGGTCTCTATTCCGGGACTCCGTTGGATTGCGCTGCAACTCGCGCCCACTCCACGAGTCTCCGCTGGTCCTCGAGAGTTGGACCCGACAAAGCCTCGTCCCACCCCTTCAACGTTGGCTACGTAATTTGCATGATGCTTCTATTAGACTTTCAGGCACAAACCATGTGAAACAGGTCAGCGCGGCTGCCAAACTATATACACAATGGACTAAATTGTTCTGGGTCTATTTTTGCCATCATGACCGGGCTGCTGGGTGACATGGTTTGGAGCCTGCGCAGACAGGTCTCCTAGGTATTAGTAAGTCTCTTAGCGGGATGAGGCAAAGTTTGTATTCGTAGGCGATATATCTGCAGCATACCTGCTTATGCTGTAGCCAGTATTGGTGGTGGAATGCCGTGGTCTGAGGGGTCGGTATACAGAGCCCGGGGAAGGACTGCTGAGCCGAGTTGTATGCTAGCTCGTTTGCGGCTGCTCCGGGTGACCTGGCATTCAAATTAGCGGCTTTTTTCGCGGCTCGCGTTTGTGCCTGCCATAGGATGGCGCGATTGTGAGATCAAATACAGCCTCTCATGTAGTTCCAGTAGAGTACATTCGAATATGTGAGTATGTATTCCGCAAAAGAGTGCATTCCTGCTTGGGTATTGCCGTTTCCTCTACGATAGATGCATCAGAGCATCTTAGTGATGAGCCGTCAACTACCTTACTTTAATGAATGGTTTCCATGGTAGAAATTCCTCCCACTGGTCACATCTTTAGTAGCTGCAGCACGAGTTATACATTTTTATAACACGTCAATAAATAATAAACACATACCGTTGTCGTAAATGCGCCACTTTGGCCTAATGATAACTGTGGTTCGAGTACTGGCTCTGCTTCTATCGCAGTCC